TGTCGTGTGACTAATTAACTTTTCCACAAACAAGGTGTACAGAGACTTATTTCCCCACATTCTGACCAACACTGTGTGTTATTTCACTTTTTCAAGTTAAAATGGTATCTTGTTTTAATTATTATTCTTTTTAATTTGGAGGATATTGGTATTTTCTGTGCGTGTTCATTGGTTTATTTTTCCTCTGTCATTTGCCTTTCCAGTTTTTTGTCTGCTTCTTATTTTGGCTGCTAAGTCTTTTCCTTAGAAATTTGGAAGAACTTCTGTGTATTAGAGAATTAGCAATCTATCAGTTATGTTGAAGGTATTTTCTCAAATAATTATTAAACTTGATTATGTATTTTGCCGGGCAGATGTTTTGAATTTTATATAGTAAGCTTTGTCAGTCTTTTTTCTTGTGACTTGTGGTGTTTGTGTCATGTTTTGAAAGTCCTGCTTCAATCAAAGATCATAGAAAATTAACTTATGTTTAATCATTTTATAGTTTAATTTTTTCATGTTTAAAAATGTCATCTACTTGGAATTCAGGACTGAGGTAGAAATTAACCCTTTTTACTTTCAAGGGCCAACTCCAGAGAGTGTGTTTATATTTAGTGAATGTGGGGAGACAAAAAAGTCAGAGATGTCTCCCAAATTTCCAGCCTGATTTTTTCCTCATGTGATTTTCATTTATGTAGAAAAAAGATACATTTAAAAACAAAGTCATCCACCATCCTACTATCATAAAATATAAATTATTTCCAGTTTTCACTCTTCTCTGAAAATTTCTTTCCATATTTATTCTGATTTATAAAAGATGCTTCAGTAGCAGTCTCTTACATTTTAAAGTTAGTGTGTGCCCAGCACATAGTGTCAGTTGCTTGAATATCTACTTAACGTTAATGACTACAAACTAAAAATAGATTATAGCCTAAATTTTTTTTAAGGATTTAGTTCCCCTCAACCCCAAATATTCCTCAGTCCTTTTAATAGTCAAGGAAAGACTACTATGAAATGTGAATTGTAAAAGAAATGACAGATTTGATTTTTCCCCTCTAGATTCTGGATTGGTTTGTACAGATATGTTTGGCCTTGAAACATGTACATGATAGAAAAATTCTTCATCGAGACATAAAATCACAGGTATGTTAATTCCGTCATTAATAATTTCTAAATGGATATGGACATGGGGCTAGCATAGTCTTGGGGCAAAATTTTGGAACCCAATCCAGTTTGCATATCCTATAAATCTTCTTCATAACCATCATGTGTTTGATCTCCTTTCTACTTCCTAAATCTTCCTCTTTCTTGGTTTATTCTCTCATTATGTTGGAAAAAATCCAAAAAATGGATGTGTGGAAGCTACGTTTTTTTGAGATTTTGTGTGTCTGAAGATGACTTTATTCTCTTACTTTAATAATAATTTGGATATAAACTCCTAGGTTGGAAATTGTTTTCCTGCAGAATTTTAAAGATACTGCTCATTTGTCTTTTGAATTCTAGTATTACTCTTTAGGAATTTAAGGCCATTATGACTTCTTATCCTTGTTTCTTCTCTCTGGATGATTTTAGAATATTCTCTTTGTCCCCATTGTTTGGAAATTTCACAGAGTTGTACATTGATGAGGTTCAGCTTTTATTCTTTATTCTGTGTATGGGTTTTTTTGTCTTTTTTTTTTTTTAATGAGTAAGGTTGGCTCTGAGCTAACAGCTGTTCCCAATCTTCCTCTTTTTGCTTGAGAAAGATTGTCACTGAGCTACCATCTGTGCCAATCTTCCTCTATTTTGTTTGTGGGACGCCACCACAGTGTGGCTTGCTGAGCAGTGTGTAGGTCTGTGCCCACAATCCCAACCCAGGAACCCCAGGCCATGGAACCTGAGCACACAAACTTAACCACCATGCCACCAAGTCGGCCCCTATCCTGTGTACTTTTGACCTCAGAATGTATGTTTCCTCTGGAAAGTGTTTAGCTATATTTTTTTAAAATATTGTTGTTCACTGCCTTCATGGGCGTCTTATGGATTTTTTTTCCTAGACGTGTTTTGAAACTTCTTTATCCTTTCAAGTTATCCTATTTGTTCTTTCACCTTTTATCTCTGTGTCTCTCTCAGCTGCATTTTAGGTGAATTTCTCAACCTTCTTTCTAGTTAACTAAATCCCTTTTTAATTTTGTGTAAACTAGTGCTTATCTCATTTATTCACTTTTTTATTACATTGACTATTTTTTTCTCTCCAGTATTTTTAAATGCTTTCTCATATACATCTCTTTTCATTCTGGTTGTTTTGTGTTTCATAATGTCTTGTTCTTTTTAAATGAATATCTGTTCCTTCATTTATCTCTGCAGTTTTCTAAACATGTCTATGGTAAAGTTTTTGTTGAACTGTTTCATAAAATTCTATCTGAAGTGAATTCTTGTTCTGATGATTGTATTGGCTGTTTTTCTTCGCATTAGACTTCTTCATGTATATTGGATTTTCTTGGGGGGAGGGCAGGCTCTTTTGTGGAGATGTTTTGTCCCCACAGCCCACTCATTTTGCATAGAGGTTTCTTTCATGGTTACCTCATGTGGGCTCTCTAAGTTCCCAGGGAAGGGAGTGCACAGGGAGTTCATTCCTGGTGTCAAGGCTGTGTGTTTGTCTTCTTACCTTCTTAGGCCTGCAGCTTCTAGCCTAATAGTCCCAGGATGAGAAGTAGAAAGAAGAGAAACTGTGATGGGAGCTCCATACCCCATCTTTCCTGTCCCTTGACCCTCTGCCACCTTATTCCATTTCACCCCATCTTACTTACTCCACTTAACCTCATTTTATGTCATCTTTGGCTATGAGCATGTCCCTGAGTCAAGTCTCCTGACTGATATGGAGTTTAATTCATATTACCCCAAAACTCCTGGCTTCACTGATAGAGCATTGGAGTTCTGTATTTGCTAATGTAAATCAGGTAAATTACTGGAAAATTTTAAGGCTTTATTGAGATATATTTTATATACCATAAAATCCACCCACTTAAAGTGTACAGTTCAGTGATTTTTAGTGTATTCACACAGTTGTGAGAGTATCGCTGCTCTCTAATTCCAGAACATATTTTATCATTCCAAAAAGAAACTCTATACTCATTAGCAGTCTCTCCCTATTCCCCCTCCACCTGGATCCTGGAAGCCACTAACCTACTTTCTGTTTCTATAGATTTGCCTATTCTGGACATTTTTTATAAATGGAATCATATAATATGTGACTTGGCCTATTTTAAAATTTGGTTTTCTTTTATTGTTATTGAGTTGTAAGAGTTCTTTATTCTGGATACAAATTCCTTATCAGATACCTGATTTGCAAATATTTTCTCCAATTCTGTGGATTATCTATTCACTTTCTTGATGATGTCCTTTGCACAGAAGTTTTTAATTTTGATGAAATCCAATTTATCTATATTTTCTCTTTTTGCTTGTCCTTTTGGTGTCATATCTAGGAAACCATTGCCTAAACTAGTGGCACAAAGATTTACTCCTGTGTTTTCCTCTAGGGGTTTTATAGTTTTAGTTCTTATATTTAGGTCTAGAATCTATTTTGAGTTAATTTTTGTGTATGGTGTGAGATAGGCGTCTGCATTCATTCATTTGCATGTGGATATCCAGTTATCCCAGCGTATTTTTTAACTGGATTCATTTTTATGGAAAAAGTTCTGAACTTAGAACTGGACTATAATAGTATTTCTGATTTTTTTCTCTTTTTTACAGAACATATTTTTAACCAAAGATGGGACAATACAGCTTGGGGATTTTGGAATTGCTAGAGTTCTTAATAGGTAACATCCATTTTAAACTTTGTTTTAATATAATGTTTTCAGTGAAATTTTAATTCATGATGATGTATACATGATGATTTGTAATATCTTTAAGTATCTTAAGTGTCTACAATAATGCTCTTTTGTTCTAGTACTGTGGAGCTGGCTCGAACTTGCATAGGGACTCCATACTACTTGTCACCTGAAATCTGTGAAAACAAACCATACAATAATAAAAGGTATTTAAAATGATATTCATTACATGATATATTTCCTTTCAGTCTTTCTCTGTTGTATTTATTAACCTTCAGAGTATTATTCTAAAATCCATAATGCACATATGTAAACATATATATACTTTTTTTAATATATGATGAGGAGAATTGAAAAGAAGCTATTTCACTATCTTACTAAAGGAACTATAGAAAGAATCACTTTATTATTTAAGTGATAGTTGGAAATAAAATGCTTTCTTTGGTCTTTCTCTTTGTAATAGTCACTTCCTATTGAATTATAATAGTTAATATTTATTGAACACTTACTGTATACCAGGCACTGTTTTGAATGCTTTCTATGTATTAACTCTTTTAATCTTCACAATAACTTTTTGAGTTGTAGGTATTCATCATTAGTCATTTCCTTATAAGGAAAAATAATGTGGAGAGATCCTGGGCATCTGGCTCCCAAGCCCGAATTCCTGTCCCTGAGCTATCCTATGGCTAACAGATTGTCCAATATGGGGATGGAAAGAGGAATTCTGCCGCTGAATTCGAATTACACTTTATTTTCTCTCACTTTTTCTAATTGAAAAATCCCAACCAAGAAACATTGGTCTTAATTTTGAAAGCACCTATAAAAGCCGCAAGGAAGAAAGTGGTGGCTGGCAGTAATGCGTGTATGCATGATTGTTATCCCCCCACCCCCACCCCCCAGCTTTTTTTTTGAGGGTGGAGAGAAGTTGTATTTTCAACCTGAGCAATAGAGGCTGAGACCATTATCCTAACAATGTATTTTTGAAATCAATTTAAATCACACTAATCAGTCTAGTCTATGGAATGTATTATTAGTGGATATTCTAAAGGATACCAGCATTTTCTTTGAGCTAAAGTAATTTTACATTTTAAAGCTATTTCTGTCTCTTGTGGATAAATCAACTGTGAAAAATATCAGTCTTTATCTTTTAAATTAGAATGGATTTAATCATCCATTGGAGAATTTTATATAAAATTAATTTTGTGGGAAAAACGCTTTAAAAATCTAATGGATTTGTGTGTCATCCTTGCGCAGGAGCCATGCTAATCTTCTCTGTATTGTTCCAATTTTAGTGTATGTACTGCTGAAGCAAGCATAGCACAACTAGAAGGACCTACAACTAGAATATACAACTGTGTACTTGGGGGGCTTTGGGGAGAAGAAGAAGAAAAAAAAAGGATTGGGAAGAGGTGTAGACTCAGGTGCCAATCTAAAAAACAAAACACGAAAAATATAACAGATGAGCATATTTTTCTAAATGTATTTTAAAGTATTAATAGGATCATTAGTTTAATGTTTTTGTTTATACTGTTCAGTATGTAACATGTACAAATCACTAAATAGCTTAATTTCATTTCCATTTTTCCCAGCTGAATCTTGAAATTAAATAGATTTGTGGGGTACGAGTTTATATTTGTAGATTTTTTTGTGAGAGTTCAGGTAAAGATAACCTTAGGATTTCAATAATGGATTTTATTCTTTTCCAATAAGTTCAGCTTTCGGGAACAGTGGATTTGCTTTTGTTGACTTCTGAGAGCCACTGTAGCTCTGAACTATGAGGGTTTTTTCATCCTTTTAAAAAGTGGAAATGGTCCTTTTTTTTTTGAGGACGATTAGCCCTGAGCTAACGTCTGCTGCCAATCCTCCTCTTTTTACTGAGGAAGACTGGCCCTGAGCTAACATCTATGGCTATCTTCCTCTACTTTATATGTGAGACGCCTGCCACAGCATGGCTTGACAAGCAGTGTGTAGGTCCACACCCAGGATCCAGAGTGGCAAATCCTGCGCCACTGAGGCAGAACGTGCCAACTAACCGCTGCACCATCAGGCTGGCCCGTGGTCTTTTCTTCTTTTCTTTTCATTATAAAAATATCTACTTAAAATAAAAGAGAGGAAGAGACCATGTATAAAGAAGGTAGTGTAACTAAGTCTTTAAATTAGGATAAAATAAAATAATACATTTACTCTTTCATAACATTTCAGTTGGCTGTCACAAGTTTATTCTTGCTTAATTTTAGTAAATTAATATTTTTACATTCATTAAAGCAGTATTTTGCTTTTATAATATTTTCTGAGTCAGAGTATTTTGCAAATAATTGAATATAGCAGTTTGACTTGTGAATAAAATAACTAAATGGAATATCCATGAAATTTACTCATTTTGTTCTTTTAAATATCAAATTTCTATCATGAAGAACTTTAAAATAATTACTTGAGCAAAGATTCTTTTTATAATCTGGGATAGCTGCTTTTATCATTTGGTTATGGTTGAAATTTTAAATTTTAAACGATGTCTTATGGAACTCATATTTTTGCAAAGTATTTTTATGCTGTTCTTGGTTCCTTTAAATGAAAAAAATTTTTAAGTAAATTCTGATACCTAGAGAAAATTTCTCATCTTTTTCTTTTTTAGTGACATTTGGGCTCTGGGATGTGTCCTTTATGAGATGTGCACACTTAAACATGCAGTAAGTAGAATTTTCTGAGATGTTTTAAAAATTATGTCGAAAAGTACCTATAATATTTCTATTTTTAAAAAGTTACAAGTCATCTTTCAGGTGAACCTCTTGCGTTAGAAATTCTTGTGTCAGTTTTAAAATTTCTCCTCTGAAGTATAAATTTAAATTGATTTTCTTTTAACATATATGCATGTATTACATATGCATGTTATATATTTGTTATTATATATGTATCATACTTTTTTCCAGAAAATTATTTCTAAAGGCAGAAGTAAATTTGCTATCTTTTTATGTTAGATTCATACAGGAATTTGATATTTTAGCTTAACAAATTTTATTAGTTTCATTTTAGTAATTTCTTTCAAAACACCAAAATTATTTGAGTTTGGAATTTAAATTATCAAACAAATGCTTTTTAACATACTCATTGAGAGATTTTATCAATTTAAATACTCTTTAGTTCAGAGTATTTAAAATTTTCACTTTTGAGACTTTTTTGAGATAGCACGTAATACACTAAAAAGGGGAAGTTCTAAGCCTAAATAGGTTGAATTTTAATCACTTTCTGTTTCAAAAATCTTGCTTTTTAAAAATGCTTCCCTCATTGATTAAACAATCATGTATTTTTGTTACAGAAAACTTAAGAAAGTACATATAAATATAAAGAAGTGAATATTAAAAGTAATTCTTCCAGTCAATAATGAGTACTTGTAATATTTTGAGGTTACCTTCTAAAATTTCTTCTAGATTAATTTATAGAATGAGATTTTTTTTTCCCCCTCAAAAATTTGATTATATTGTATAAGCAGTTTTAGCGTGTTCTTATTGCCTGATATTATTTGGAGAGTATTATTCTTTGTTGTGTTTCTTCAGGGTTGCATGTTCTTCTACTCTGTTGCCTTAGGTTTTATTTTTCTTTCTTAAGGCGAAAAACATAGACTGCCAAAGTGATGTGGGATGGTAGTTATCAGATCTGTATTTGAAGGAATTGGTCAGTTTTTCTGTGACATGTAGTCATTTTAGGTCTAAATGAGTGTATTTTTTAAAAATATTTTCATCTACATTGTTCATCACTGTTGCTTCTATGTTTTGGAATTGTTTACTCTTAAGTGGACACATGAAATTAAGTAATTCACTAACCTTTATTTATGAAGAATATGTCAGTTGAGAAATAAATGAAAATTCACTGTAGTGAAGGAATAAGAGTAACCTATCTTTTTGCATTTAGGATTCCTTCTTAGGTACATAGATATTTCTAGACATTTGAATTGTATTCAAATTTTAATAAACTGAATGACATATTTTAAATGTGACAGGAGAAGTCAACATTGAACAGAACTCTTTTATAATTGGTATAGTCACCAATGCCTTATTTATAGTATGTTTTATTTCCTTATGTGTATGTTAGGAACATATTGACAGTGTACAACTGTTCTATACTATTTTAGCAGAGATGACAGAAGCTTAATTTTACTTACTTTCAAAATGAAATCTTTAGATTTTAAACTGCCCCGCCTCTGTTTGTTTTTTTTTTTTTTCTTTTCTAACTTCAGGTAGAGATTATATTGTGTTAAATCCTGTAAATATATATTCCTGTTAATATGGCTCATAATCTCCTTTGGAATGTTTGCCACATTGCTGATTCTGTGGCTTTTGGGAGCATTACATGCTTAAAAAAAATAATGGGAACAGTGTTTAAAAGGAAAGTAATTTGTACTTTTGTTTATTTTATTTCCACAAATACTTTTAGTCCTGTAGTTAATTCTTGTTCTAGTTACTCCAGTAGGGGCCCAGGAAGGCAGGTCTTAAGTGAAGGCCGCCAGGTTTGTTTGTTTTACCATCTTGGTTGTTGTCATGTTTTTATAAAATCTTCATTTTAATTAATGCCTGTATCCCATCTTTTTGTGTTTTGAATAAAAATTAGTCTTATAGCAAGTTATAACATTTTAGGAGGACTGCTGGTCTCTTTTAAATATGTTTATAAATAACTAAGTAAACCTTGCTGATACATAGAGAACATATGCTGATTAAAATATTTGGAACAGGATTGTATTTCTGTTGTATTTTGATAGGAAAAGAACTGTTTTTCCTTGTTTATATTCCCATTTTCAATTTATGTACATTTAATATATGTTAATTTATTTTCTGGATTTTAGTTTGAAGCTGGCAATATGAAAAACCTGGTACTGAAGATAATATCTGGATCTTTTCCACCTGTGTCTTTGCATTATTCTTATGAGCTCCGCAGTTTGCTCTCACAGTTATTTAAAAGAAATCCTAGGGATAGACCATCAGTCAACTCCATATTGGAGAAAGGTTTTATAGCCAAACGTATTGAAAAGTTTCTCTCCCCTCAGGTATGTTCTTTTACTTTATTAAAATTGAACAGTAGGGTTATGGTGCTTAACTAGGACATGCCCTCCCCTGTTTTGACGAGAGTACGTCAGAATCTTTGAGTAATGAAGCACCTTTTTCAAACTACATTGGGGTCACCTTCCTTACCATTCTTTTATAACTCCTCCCCTTCCTGTTTGCTTACCAGTTGTGAATCTGTAGGGAGGAAGAGATTCCTCTTGTGTGTCTTGTCTTAACAGTTAATACTTCTGACACTTCTGATGACCAAATGTGTGGTAGTTTTCCCACACCAAGCAATTCTGTGACATTGGCTGGGTGTCTTAGAATTCAATTTAGTTCTGACACTATTTACCTAGGATAGCATCAAATCCCACAGGTTAAGGGCTCAGTCCCACAAGACTGCCCCCACTTTAGAAGCCAACGGCAAGTCCAGGTTGTTACCTGTGCTTCTAACTGACCAGCTATATATCAGAGGTTCCCACGATCCCCCTCCTCAGGTTCGATTAATTTGCTAGAGCAGCTTACAGAACTCAGAGAAACATTTACTTACATTTACCGGTTTATTATAAAGGATACATCTGAATGGCCAGATGAAAGGGGTACACAGGGCAAGTTCTGGAAGGGTCTCAAGTGTAGGAGCTTCTGTCCCTGTGGATGTGGGTTGCACTTCTGGCATGTTTACAACCCAGAAACTCTCTGAATCCCGTCCTTTTGGTTTTTGTGGAGGCTTCTTTACGTAGACGTGATTGATGAAATCGTTAGCCTTTAGTGATTGATTAAACTCCAGCCCCTTTCCTCCTCAGGGGGAGGGGACCATCCTTAGGGGCTTTCCACAAGTCACCTCATTAACAGAAATTCAGATGTGGTTGAAAGGGACTTGTTATGAAAAAAAAGACGCCTTTATGCTTTTACCACTTAGGAAATTCCAAGGTTTTAGGAACTGTATGCAAAGAACTAGATGAAGACCAAATATATATTTATTATAAGTCACAATAGCACAGAATCATTCCTCTGTCTCTTGGGTTTCTGTTGTTTTGTTTTCTGATTTTTTTTATTGTGCTAAAGTGTATTTAACATAAAATTTATTATCTTAAGCATTTTTAAATGTACAGTTCAGTGGTATTAAATACTTTATAATGCTGGGCAACTATCACCAGCGTCCATCTTTATAATAGTTTTCGTCTTGTAAAACAAACTCTATACCGATTAACCAGTAACTCCCCACTCCCCTCTCCCCCAAGCTCCTGGCAACCACCTTTTAACTTTGTCTTCTTGGGTT